CGAAACTCTTAACATGATCGAACGAGACGACATCGTCTCGCGGCAGCAGACATACTTGTGGGACGCTGCATGTCACGGGCAAGACATAACCAAAGAGTTTGCCGTCTTCGGTTACATACCATTTCTGTTTTTGGTCTTTGACTATGTACCATTCGTGCATAGCCAAAGCCAAAAAGATGTTGTGTACTTCGATATGACTAAAGAATTCGTTAAATTAAATCGTCAGCTACTTTTGAGAAAGCTCTGCAACTATACGGTCTGTGTTCTAAGCACTATCGGATGTTTCAAGGTTATTATTCTCATCCGGTACATTTTGTGCGAGTGTCGAGCTGCTTATCTGCTCCTTTTTTATCTACTTCTTGTGTTCCACGAGGCACCCATCTTGGTCCAATTTCGTTTTTAATTTTTGTAAATTATGTATGTTCCGCCATTAAACACGCTCAATTACTGTTATTTGCTGACGACATTAAGTTGATTAATGTGGCTAATACGGTAAAGGACTGTGACCGTCTAAAGCGTGATGTACATTCAATTTCGGCTTGGTGTTCCCTGAATAGCCTTGTTTAGAATGAGACAAAGACAAAAATTACACCCTTTTCGAGAAAGTGTGATACTGTAACATTTTCTTACACGTTAGACGACAAAGCTATTGATCATGCTTCTTATGATTCGAGATCATTCGCATTGCTACAACGAATTCATCGTTTCAATACTTGAAGCCATTACACACAACTTTTCGAATTCGCTTTGCGTTTTACGTTTGTTTTTTCACTCATGTGTAGTCGTATTGAATACGCCTCGGTGGTGTGGAATTGTATTGAAGTTACAAATTCATGTATCATCGAGCGCGTTAAAAAAATTTATTTGTGTATTTTAAAATCGCTACTTTTATTTACACTATTACTACGGTTATGATAGAGTATGCAGACTCTTGAAATTGTTCACGTTACCTAACAGAAGAAGGAGACATAATTGTAAATTTCTACACAAGGTCGCAAATGGAATAATTGATTCAGATGTATAACTTAGTTGCATTTATTTACGCGTTCCTCGAATTTCTTGCAGATCGCATTCAATGTTTTATTCTTCTGAATTGCACAAAGCACAACCCATTATACGGTTACAATAAATCTATAACAACCGTGAACAGATTGCTGCATGTAATAGCCTTGATATTTTTGATGACGCGCGTAGATTTTGAAATTCTATTGATTATATTGTGTCGTCCTAAAGTTTCTCTTCCTCTTTATATTTCTTTTCTGCTGTTAAATACTAATCTGGAAAGTGCACCACTAAAAATGCGTCATTCTGTTCGTGGGCCAGTCAAAAATAAATGAATGAATACACGCACTCGATTTCCATGTCCTGCGGTCTAAATACATCGGACAGACGGGCCGATGCCTAAACGATCGGGTGAGTGAACATGCAAACGAGATCAAGAAAGCCGCCTACAGCACTTCGGAGATTAGTTACCACCCGATTGCCAAACACACCTCTGAGTGCAGTGAACCCTGTTCGGCCGACCTTCCTCGACCACCAGGATTGGAGGTCACGCGTCTCAATATACGGACGAGAGATCATGGAGGTTTTCGCTATGCACCACAGTCACAACAACTTTGGGCCCAGTCCATAGGCTTATCCAGGAGGGAGATAATCTTCCTGGGGCCAGAGCTGACGTCCCTCGTTTCCGCGGCTCCAAGCGATTAGATGTCAACCCCACGGGATCGTTCTTCACTTCCCTGGCTCTACACACTCTCCCATCGCTTTCCCACTTTCCAGGGTAGCGTCCTTCACCCTCCGCTCCTTCACCTATATCTGCAAACTTCCGGTCAATAAATGTTGTTGCTAGTTGAAAGCCTTCGTTGTCCGTCCCCCCTGTCTATGTATCTTCCTCGTGTTTGATTACTATTACCAACACGCTAGTTTTGTACTTAACATACATCAGGTTGAGCCCTAATCCATAGATAATTTGCATAACCTTATATGTTGTATAATATTTCTAAGGCTTATCAATTGGAGATGCTGCAACAAATGCAATACATGCGTAATTTTTAGACGCTCACTTTCAACCACCGTCGTATAATGCAAGCCGCAAGATGCAAATTTACAATATAATCTTAAATTCATTAGGGATATGCCGTGCTCATTTTTGTTTCTTGAAATAAAACGCACGGGTCACCGTCGTACATTTTATATTGTGCTAAATTTTTTCTCCGACGAGGCTATTCGGCGATGGATCTGATGGCGGGGATACTCCCACACGCGGGAGTGCAGAATCCAACATTGGTGGAGGCGACAACGGCAACGGGGAATCGGCACATGACGGAACATCTTCGGAAACTATCTGCCTGCTCGTGGGGTCTTCGTCTCGGCTCGATATTTTAACGGCCGAGGTAAAGCTGCTACGCGCGGATCACAGTGCGCTCAGAGAGGAAGTCTCCCAACTTCGCCAAGCAGTTGTGAATGAGTCCATCGCGGCTGCTTCCAAAAACGCGTCAACCGTCGCCACGGAATTAGCGGCGCCTTCGTATGACTCAGGTACAACATCCGGATATACCTGCAAATATGACTGCCCGTGGGATTTCGACATCGTCCCCACGTCAAGGAAACGGTGAGTTTTCCAACGTGACTGACGGTGCGAGTGATTACCCTCGCTCTAACCAGGATTGTCGTCCAAGGCCTCAGGTTTCATTCGGTTAAGCTACAAATTGCGGTGTCAGAGTGGTGCCGCGCGCTCCGCCTTCGAAAGGCTTGTTCGTTTCCCGTATGGACCCAGCCACGACGGTCTCGGACATAGAGGCTATCGTAAAAACCATCCTCGGGGAAAAAACAGTGATGTGCACGCGTTTAAAGACACTCTATCCAACCTACAATTCGTTTCATCTCGCCATTGACGAGGAATCTTTGGTAGCGTTGAAGGGCCCTGATGTGTGGCCGGATGGCTCTCTTTTTCGTCCGTTTTTTTGGGAGGCTGCCTATTTCCCGGCATTACAGGACTGTCTTGGAAAATGTAACTCAAACTGATGATGGCTCGAAAACTTAGTGCATATTATCAAAACGTTCGTGGTCTTAGAACCAAATCAGATGAATTTATGTCGAATCTGCTGGGCTGTGATTACAACATCGTTACCTTATCGGAAACCTGGCTACATGATGGCACCGCCAGTGGCGATTGTTTTCCAGCGTGTGTTTCGGTGCTTCGCAGGGACCGTGACTATGCGTCAGGAATAAAATACGGCGGTGGTGTACTGATAGCCTGCAATCAATCTTTGAACACCCATAGACGTAACGATCTGGAAACTTATCGGGAATCGGTATGGGTTTAAATTCCTTCTGCTGACGGATTCAACCTTCTGATTGGAACATATTAATTTCCTCCCCCTTCAGATGCTGCGCTTTTTATAGACCACTTCAATTTCCTTGAAAACAACATATATAGGACTAAGTATCGCGTAAACATTTACAGAGATTTTAATCTTCCAAAAGTTGATTGGCTTTCTGGCATTATTAACAGTGAAAGCTTATGTACGCGTCTAAAAGCAACTTGTATATTCAGCTATATAAATTTTAATGATTTAACGCAAGAGAACATGTTTGTGAATTGCTCCGGAAACATTCTTGATTTAGTTCTATCTAACTTTTGTGTTTCGAATGTGACTTGTGCAAATGATCCCCTGGTAACTGCTGATGCTTACAACCCTCCGATTGAGGTCTTGTTTTTAATGTCTTTAAAGGTTATATCACCTTGTTGCGTCCTGAGATATGCATATAGTCTCGGTGATTATTTTTGTTTATTTAAATATTTCACGAAATACGACTGGAATAGCATCTTACAAGGCTCAGATGTTGATTCTATAGTGGACGGTCTCACATTGGTAGTTAGTGATGCAGTGGATATGTTCATTCCTAAGGACCTTCAACATCCCGAGAAGTGTCCCAAATGGTTCTCTAAGGATTTACGACATTGCTTGAAGTTAAAATTACATTATCATAGATTGTATAAAAAGACAAAACTAAACGTGTGGTGTGAAAAATACAGCATATGTCGTAAACTAACAAAGCAACTACTCGCTAATGACCAGTATCTATACCGTAAGCAGGTGGAGCTTAGCTTAAACAAGCGACACAAAGCCCAAGCAGCACAATTCACCGGCTCAAGCTTGAGCCTGCTTGGGCAGCCGGGGAAAGTTTCCCTGGCCCAAGCACCGTTTTCCTCCAAGGGGCAAGCTAGCCCCAGCCTGGCTAGCCGGCCCGGCAGTTCAGTGGGGGTTCCTTGTACAGCCAAGCTTGGCCAAACGGTGTAAAACAAGCCTGGGCCAGGCTGGCAGTTCAGTGGTCAGCCAAGCTTGGCAAAACGGTCTAAATGCATCCTGGGCCACACTGGCAGTTCAGTGGTCAGTCAAGCTTGGCAAAACGGTGTAAATGCAGTGTGGGCCAGGGTGGGAGTTCTCTGGTCATTCAATCTTGGCTATACGGGGAATTTACAGGCTTCTCCCAAGGAAGTCTATGTTGTCATTCAAAGGATGCTTTTGTGGCATAAAATATAGTCAGACATCTCCAATTTTTGGTGCTGTGTGCAGAAAAAAACTGGTTGCTACCTTGTTCCGGATTTAGTGACCCACGATTAATGGAGCTGCTCCAGTAATTTTCTCAGAATACTTAAACAATAAAATGAAAGTTGAAAACATGTGCGAGCTGCTGTATTTATTGTGCAGTTGGCATGCAAATGAAGCTGCAAAATCAAGTCAAGTTTGATACAGTGGTTTTTTATTTCATGTTCAGTACATGGTGCTAGCTTATGCCCCGAGTCCCACTACAGCGACAAACAGAAACAAATGACAACAAGTCTCAAACCTGAGTCTTTCGCGATTTGACAGGCTTTGTGGAATAAAGGAGGCTATGCTTAAAAACAAGCATCATGCACGCGAGGGTATCTTTGGCAGGCTTAGAATCACTCATGCTTATTTCACGAGCACCGAACGAATAAACGCCTTCCAAAGGTACCATCACGGGCATGCTGAATGGGTTGGAGGCTTGTAGCTGTCGTTTGTTTCTGTTTGTCGCTCTCGTGTCCCACTCGAGTGACAAAGGCTGGTTGCTGGTCGAGTATCTGCTGCCTGGCAACTGGGCTTCACAGCTAGTAGGTGGCTCTGCCGATTGGAGTACTTATGACAGCAGTTGTCCATGGTTCACCCCACTTCATGGCTGTGACGTAGAGCTGGATAGCAGCACCTGGAGAAGGAATAAGATAACCAGTGATGCATGTTTAGTAAATATGTTTTACATGAACCATGCTCCTAATTAAATTATAACATAGCAGAAAGGCCACCCAAAAGGTCTTGGTGGTATGTTCAGTCTCCTTCAATATAAAAGACGTACTAAAAGCATGTGGCCGTGATGGCCGTGGGCGCTATGCGCGCTCCACGAGATTCTGTTCTGCCTCGAGGAAAGGACGCTCACTCGGGGCTGAACTGGTCCTGAACTTGTTAACCGTTTTTGGTTTAGGTTTAGACTAAAAGTGTGCTTTATCGGCATTGCGCCCAGAGATGTGATCATGGAGGCTCGAAGTAAGCATGCTCATTATTGTTTTCGTTATCAGTTGTTTCTGGTGTAAAATTTGAAAACAGGCACAAATATTAACGTTACACCTGAGTCTCATATTTGAAAAATAAAATGTCTTGAAGAGCGGAATCATTAATCAGAAGGATGGCATGGACCATGCTATTTAAAAGTGAAAATAATTGCCTTGACTCGGGCCAGTTTCTCTCGTACAGCCATTTCAGAATTAGTTGCTGTAACATAATGTGAATGAACTGCTCTCCACCGTCAACCCGAAAACTGATAAGTGTGCATTGTGCTTTAGCTGAGCACTACGCGAGTTCCCCCTTGGGTAGATTGGGATCTCCCAGAGCACACAAAGTGCCCTCACCAGTCACTGCCTCGGCCAGGCGCTCCCACTGGGTCTTTCATACTGCAGGAGAATACAGAACGCAGGAACTACAGAATTTGACAGTGACAAGCATGATTTCCCTCCATTTGTAGAATACTACTGTCAGTAAATGCAAAATAAAAGCCAGTTAGAGCACCTCAATGTGAACACCACATATAACATACAGTACTGTGGAAGGTTGCTCAGATCGTTTGAAAGCAGACTGAATTGCCGCAAGGGAATTTTCTTGTTTCTCTTGATAGTAAAACCAAGCCATAAGTACAACTTCACTGTAAAGACAATGTTTTCTATCTGCTTTTCTTTAAATGCATAGAAGTACTTTTTGGTATTTATGTTACCTACCTCTAAAAAGACGAAGGACCAGTAAAAGGAAACACACAGACACAGTTACGTACAAAACAAGCGTGTTGGTAAGAGTAACTACACATGAGGAAGATACATAGAAAGGGGGGGGACGGACGGACGGACAACTTTGTTGTCCGTCCCCCCTTTCTATGCATCTTCCTCATGTTTAATCACAAACACAGCGCTGTGTCTTTCCTTTTACTGGTCCATCTTTTTTGCACTGTTTTAACCCATTCAATATGGCCATCAACCAACTTGCCCAACTTTACACCTTGCTACCTCTAAGGTTGCAATATAAAGTGGTCTCAACTTCCACTGACAGCCCTGAAGCTATAAACCCACAAAAAACCAAATTCCCTAGTAATTAAAACAACACAAAAGAAAATCAGATCAGAAAAACATTCAGTCTGATTTGATTATATTGAATCAATAAATACAATGAATATGAGCAAGAATTCTTGTGAAAATGTATTATAAACTTTCAATGTAAAATGGGATGAGAGTCCTACTAAAGCAACCAAGAGGAACAACCGACCCCAACACGACTTAAATACATTCAGCATGCACACGAAGATAGCTTTGGCAGGCTTCCCATTTTTCGAGGCTCATGAAGTAAGCACAAGTTATTGCAAGAATGCCAAAAGATATCTTTGTATGCATGCTGCATGGTCTTGGGGCTTAAGATGGCAAGTTGGCTATTCATCACTGAATAATACGCCACAAAAACACAGACACAACAAAGGAAGATCTGGACAGGACACGGCATAACCTTCAACTGAATGGTTCATATAAAAAAACAGAAATACATATAGACCCTTTCAGGCAACATTTCATGGGTGCGCCGCTGCCACCTTGACGTCACGTGATCCTGCCGCCATAGCCGACCATGTTTCTCGCAGTTGCTCCGCGTTGTGTGCGGCACCGGCGACCACCGGAGCTTTGTTCTCGAGTTCTTTTACGTTCTGCGTTGAAATAGTGTGTTTGCTTTAGGTCCTTTTGATATTTCGGGCTTTCATTTAATCATTTGATATCTACACTTGAACATCGCTCTTGTATTTTCTTATTTATAGAATGGAATCGGACAGCGAATGGATCGACGATAAAAGATTATGGCCTAGGCTTCAGAAACCATTAAGTTCATCACATTTTGTTTTTATCGCTAATAAGGGCAGTCAACACCATTGCGACACATAAAAATTTCAACTGACGCTGTAAGGCTATCGCAGTCGTGCTTCTTGCTGCATGTGCGAACTATAGACATTGTTTCCGTAAGTAAAAGCCGAACTGCATGGAAGTGCTCAAGCGAGCAGCGAGACGAGCAACGGCGACAACGATGAGTCAGCGACGAAGATTTCTTACTGTCGCCCGTTGCATCGCTCGGTTTTTGGATTTCTAGAAAACGTCGCTCATCGTCTTGGTAGCTTGCGTGCGGTTTGCCTTGTCGCGCGACTGATTGAGCGAAAGCGAAGCGAGTCGCTTGGCTCCTTGCTCTCCAAACCACTTGCATGCGGTTTTCTAGAAATCCAAAAGCCGAGCGCCGCGACGGGTGGCAGTGTGAAACTTTCGTTGCTGACTCGTCGTTGTCGCTCGTCTCGTCGCTCGCTAAAGCGCTTACATGCGGTTCGGCTTTTATCTATGGAAACAATGTCTAAAAGCGCGCACATGCACCGAGAAGCATGACTGCGATAGCCTCACTGCCAAAAATTTGGGGGATTTGCGTGCCAAACCAACGACGGGCATCTGGAGATAGCCTCACTGCGTCAGTTGAAATTTTCATATGTCGCAATGGTGTTGACTGCCCTTTATTAGCGACAAAAACAAAAGAATGCGATGAACTTACATGTTCTCTGAAGCCTAGGCCATGATCTTGTATCGTGATCCATTCACTGTCAGATTCCATTCTATAAATAAGAAAATACAACATCTATAATGAAACATAGGTATCAAATGATTAAATGAAAGCCTGAAATATCAAAGACCTAAAGAAAACACTCGGCTTCAACGCGGAACGTAAAAGAACACAAAAACAAAGCTCCGGTGGTGATTGATGCAGCACACAATGCGGAGCAACGGGGACAAAATGAAGGTCAGCTATGGCAGCCCGTTAAGCACGCCGACTGGTGGCAGCTCGAGTAACTGACTCCCTAAAAGCATCTATACAGATAAAAAACTGACACCTGCTGGCAGAACACTGTAAGGTCAAAATGCACTTCCTCAGAAACCAGTGCCACTAGTCCCACAGAGAGTGAAATTCTGTCAGACAATGACACTAAGGGTGCACCTCAGACAAGAGTTGTTACCCTGGTATTTTATCCAGAAGGTCACCTAGCAATTCACTGTGTCCATTGTGAGTGCAAGTCCAACTTAGAAAAAGACTAGTGTCATGGGCTGCTACAAGACAAAAACAAAGAGGAAAATTCACAATGCCTTCTTGAAGAAATCCTACAATAACAACTCATGTGAGCACACCCTCATTACTAACACATGACAAAGAATTCCACGGTCTGCAGAGTCAATGACGCTCGTTTCTGGAGGAGTGTGTTCAGACGTCGCATCAGCCCACTTCACATGGCGCAATTTCGCTTGCAAATTTACACCTGTGACATCAGGCACTGCAGCTTCCCCCATGCCTATATTTCGCTGAGTGAGTGACGTCACAACAGCAAACTCGCAAGTAAAATCACACCATGCGAATCAGGTTTACAGTGTTCTGACAGCATGTGTCACTTCCTATCAGTAGATATATTTTTTTTACCAAAGTAAACTATTCAGTTAAAAGTTAAGACGTGTCCTGCCCAGATCTTCCTTCATTTCGTCTGCGTTTTTTGGCGTATTATCCAGTCTTGAGGCATATCAGTGTCAGGTGTTTTTCTATGTCGCTCTAGTAGGACTCGGGCAGGGTGGGTAAACAGTCATGTCTCAATAATATGGATACTCTGCTATATAAAAACCGTTTTCGGGGACCAACCGGGTAAATACCTGCATTTTGTCCTGTTATTATGCACAGCTCACATTATGGACGCCTCTGGGTAGGAACGGAGGTGTCCATTTGCATGAGACATCACTGTCAAATTCCCTAGTGTTGAAATTAATGACTGCATGCTCTGAAGCCACGTAGCAGGCTTCTCCACTGAACACTAATGCGTAGTGGTGGCATGGCAGATGTTTGTGGCTGCAGAACACACCGCAGGCAAATGATATCCAATGTGGACAATCATGGATATTTGACATTAGAATCAACCAACAAATAGGCCTACATGTTGCTGTCACAGAATTGAATGATTTTTTTTCATCGTTAGCTTCCGTTTTGTGTAAGATGCATGAGTGCCGAAAACACGAGCTCGGAAGAGAAGAAAAAGAAAAAAAGAAGGAAGGCGGAAGCTGCGTAGAGCTAGGCTTCAGTGGTTGGAACAACAAGCAAGGCTTAGTGGTATGGGAGGTCGAACCCCGAACAAGGCTTTGTCAAGATGGTTGGTGGGCCCTGAGCAAGCTTCGACAATGTGCATGCGCTTGTGAGCGAGCGCTGTTCGGCACTATAACCACCCAAGCCACCACAAGTTCTTGACTCCGACTGGTGCCGCAAGGGACTGGGACCACCACCGACATCTTGCGACCATGATTCGACTTTCCTCATACGAAATGTATGGCGTCTTTGATTTGGCTTCTGTTCCCTCTTTGTTACGCTTTCGAAGCTTTTGCGATTTTCTTGCCGCTGCTACGAAGAGCAAAAGGTTTCCAAGATATGTTCTTTTCCTTTATTTTCATTTTTTTACGTCCGTTTGTGCGTCCTGTGCACCTTTTCTTTAATTTTAAATTTCATTACTAATAAATAGTGTTTCGAAATGCCAGGTACAAGTCACTCTCAATTCCTACCGCCTCTAAGGAATCCATCACCTAGGTGTGGCCCTAGCACCTGGACAGCGGTCCAATTCAGATTACAAGTTGGTTTGTTTATGGCATCTTTTCCAACCGAACCTGTGACAAACTGGCATCCACTACAGGACTTGAACCTGACACAAGTTAGTCACAGGTTCGATTGGAAAAGATCCCATAAAAACAAACTTGTAATTTGAATTGGACCGCTGTCCAGGTGCTAAGGCCACACCTAGGCGATGGACTTCCTGAGAGGCGGTAGGAATTGAGAGTGAGTCGAGCCTGGCGTTACGGAACACTATTTAATAGTAATGAAATTCAAAAGTAAAGAAAAGGTGCACAGGACGCGCACACAGTCATAAAAAAAGAAATAAATAAAGGAATAGAACATATCTTGCAAGCGTTCCACTCTTCATAACCGCGGAAGGAAAAACACAAAAACTTTGAAAGCATAACAAAAGGAACAGAAGCCAAATCAAAGATGCCATACATTTGGAGGAGGAGGAGAGTCCAATCATGGTCCCAAGATGTCGGTGGTGGCTTGGGTGCTTGCAGCGCCACACAGTGCTCACTCACAAGCACAGGCACATTGTCTAAGACTTGCTCGGGGCCCACCAACAGTCTTGACGAAGCCTTTCATTTCACTTCATTTCATTTATTTTTCCCTCAGGGCCCGAGGGCATTACAGAGGGGAGTGGGTTACATATAATATAAAGTAAATCTAAGATATGCACATGAAACAGAACAAGAAAAATAACAATAGGTTAGTCAAATTCTGGAATATAAATATTGGCAATACAGTTTTTAAACGCCACACCATCGGAAATCGATACCGCAGAGGCTGGAAGGTGGTTCCAGTCAAGAGTGGTGCGAGGTATGAACGAACTATGAAAAGATGTAGTTTTACACGAGGGTACGTCCATTTTATGTTGATGATCGAGACGTGACGAGATGTAAGGTGCAGGCGTTAGTAACCTTTCACGTAGGAAAGGGTTATGATGGTATAGCTTGGGTGCTCGAGGTTCGACCACCCAAACCCACGAAGCCCTTGCTTCGCGTTCCACCACAACCACACCGTGCGCGGGTTCCACCTTCTTTCTTCTTGATCCCTTCCTCTGAGCTTGTGCTTTCGGCACTCGCACATTTTGCTCAAAACGGAAACCAGTAAAAAGAGTACAAAAACCACTGAATTCTGTGAGAGTTGTTATGACTGTGAATGTCTAGAGGGCAAAGTTTACATTTGCAACAAAACTTGAAATGATAAGGCATGTGGAGAGGGAGACAAAGTTTTGTGTCACTGGACCCCACAAGATCTTTGTAAACTACTCAAGAAACGGTGTGACATAAAAGCGCGACAAAAGACATTCTGATGCACGGCATATTAAGACATCGAAAAACCACTACAGAGGTGGTTTAGAGATGTCGGGGCAAGCAACATTCCTATATTGGGACAAATCTTCTAAAGGAATGTGAAAAACTCCTTTTACTCTTGAAGTGAAGAATCTTCTAAAAGAATGTGAAAGATTCCTTCTAATTTGATGTGAAGAACTTCACTGCAAGTGGATAGCTACATTAACTTAAGGGCCACCATGGCATAGAAGAAAAGACCATCTAAGGGATAAATAGATAGATGCAAACGGCTGTACCTTTTGTAATGGGCAGTAGTGCCAGTGCATGTGATGGGACTATTGTGCTGGCAGTGCCAGCGTCGAAAGAGAAAGTCAATGACTCAACAATCAATTGAAGCCAAGTATGAAACCAGAAATAGTTAAATGCCTTGCCTAGGAAATTGGCCTGCAGTGGCAAAAGCATCCCTGGCAAGCGATTCACAGTTCGCATGGAAGCTAACAGAACAAGGCCCAGATATCAGAGCTTTTGAAAACCAACACGGATGGCACCACAAAAATGTATCCTTAGTGATGGGAAAGTTTGGAATGCCAAATAGTATGAGCTGTTGTAGTAAAACCATCATATACGTATGAAACATGAAATCATGGATGACTCAGGATCTCTTTGGCTGGGTCTTTGGTGGCTCGTGGACTGGGAAGCCGAGTTTGTGGATAAGCGTCCCAGCGTGTGCTTACTTGGTGACATGTGCCACTTAACACTATCCAGTTCTATTCTAGCAGCCAAACACGACATCCAAGCTGCATCCGTTAGACCAAGGCATAATTCAAAGGTAGTCTAGATTGTGTTTACCATTTATAAATGTCCAGGCACGTCTGCAATTTAGCCCATCCAGAGGCTTTCAGAGACAGTCACAAGAGCCAGCAGCTTGCTTGGGCAGCTCACTGTCAGCCACTCTGTTCTTCCATGCACCGTGCCACCTCCATGAGCTCCCACTGAAAAACAAAACAAACAGAATCGGAAATTATACTTGCAATAAGAACATCTCAGCAGCAGAGGCTACGTTATGGTGCCTGGAATGCGCCTCCAACTGGTTCGTTTCATGCTGTTGGATGTTGCAATCCTGGCATGCTGTTGGATGTTGCAATCCTGGCAGTTGGTCGTACAACTTCTGGCAAAAAATATATGAGCTAACGCAGCCGTCATTGTCCTCGCAACATTCAAAATCCTGGCTGACAAAGCTTCTACGGACTGTCAAGCTGAGGGGTACCCTCTCTCCCCCCCCCTCCCTTTTCCAGCAGAAACTACCTCAACTGCCATGATGTTCACAGCCCGGAAAAGATCCCCTTGAAGTTTATTCAGGAGCAACTAGGGTAGCTATAGAGACAAGCTCTCGCACTATGAAGCCATTCCACAAATCTGCCATAAGCAGCAGCAGTTCATTGAGAGTATAGAAGTTTTCCTTGTAAATACATCTCGAGATGAAGTTGCATCTCTGGATTCTACCAAGACTCTAGTTTCCAGCAAAGATTTACGTTGGCAGGCCGGCCGAGTTGCTGAGTAGGAGGAAGGTGCATGTGCCACACCACACGAATCTTTTGCTTACATTCAGAGAAAGGAAGGCTGAACTTCCCTGATCGAAACTGATTAGGCTGAAAATCTTGAGACTTTTCCAATTGCCGAATTCCTCAACAATACCAATTTTTCAGCTCATAGACACCCTGCACAGGGTTGAGTTAGGTACTAATGGTCATTAACAACTGCGTGAATTACTGTACACATATGCTGTAACTATACTAAAGCCCAACTTATTCTACTAACACACAACACTATAAAACTACCAAAAAACACCGAGCATGCACCCGTGGCAGAGTAAGCGCTCTAACCCCTACTTTTGAAACATATCACCTCATTTAAGGACATATTAAAGCCTATTCCTCTATTTTAAGCAAGTTAAAAAAATATATGAAAGAGACATCAAGCGCCCTGTCCCCATGGGCGTTTATCTCCACGACTGGCAGACAGAATGGGGATAGAACGAGTAGAACAGCAAAGCAGGAGAGGAATAGGAGGGGTGCAGTCGAAAAGAGCTAGAAAGTGATATACTTGGGGACAACATTCTGTGGCAATGGAGCTAAAGCTAGAGAGCCAAAGGACACCATTTCACTGCATAGCTGAATATAGTTCAACCATAATAATTTGCTGGGTGGAACGTAACCAATTAAAATATATGTAAAATTGTTCTGTTTAGCTTTGACTTTAGAATGTTAGCATAACATTAGCCAGGATGTGCCAAACCTAGAGCATTTCCTATTTAGCTATTTTGTGTTTTCTTGGTTTAAATTCACCCTAGGTTTTCTAGCTCCCTGCAAAATTAAAATGGCATCTTTATCGTGCGCATCTTTGGGCATCATCAGTGTGGTGTATTGTAGGTACACCCTGTGAGCTCGCCTCTTTGTTTGACATATAAGATTTTTACGAAGTTTGGCAACCAAGAAATCTTAAAACAAACCAAGCAAGTGGTGTGCAACGTGTATGACAAATGGGACAGTGGGAACCGGGGTCTCCTAGTTATTTCCGTATGCCGGTTGGCAAGCAAGCTCACTGGTGTGTGTGAGCACTGAGCAGGGGTGGGGACCGAGCTCAGGACCCCTGGGTTCAGCAGCGCAATCCTCGCTACACATTCTGAGCTGTGGTGTGCCAGCGACCCCCTAGGGCCAGCCATAACTGAATGCGATTCAAATGGAATGCGACTTTGCGTCGTGGAGTGTGCATGCTTCTATTTCTGTATATTCCTCCCGCGCAATAGTTTTTCAGCACCAGAAGAGTTTACAGATAACTGACCTCAAAACGCGGCAGCACTCATGAAATTTGTTCATGTGGCAATTTGGGTCAGGTGGATCATGATCATTGACTAGCGCCAAAAAAATAGACAGGGTGAAGAAGTTGCCACTGGCACACTCGCAACTAACATTATTGAAAAAAAAAAACAATCTGTTACATTGCTGTGAAAAATGTCAATCATGATTACAACCAATGTAGACCTCTATCAAGAAATTCATATTCTTTTGCTGATAAGGTTATGGATGTGTCACTTGTACAATTCGTGCCTTCGGCTATAATCTCAAACACCTCGTGTAGCTTTATCTGAGTATCTGGCCAAAAATTTGGTGTCATTAAATGATGGGAAACAAGGGCAGCAGCTGATGTGTGTGGTCGCTGCAGCAGCGGCCCTTGGAAAAGACAAATGCAAAACTAAACACTGCAAAAAATTCACAGAATGCACGACCAAAGTTGTGTTCGAAATCCCAATGTCATATGGTTTTGTGTACACAGGTCAGACAGGCCTATGTACTAATGATTGCGCCAACGAACACGAGGTGGCCACACAAGCGACTTCCATCACGACATCTGGCCACACACTGCAGACGCTGCTTTTGCTCCCAGTCGTTTAAGGACACCAAATTTTTGGCCAGATACCCCGATAAAGAATCTAGAGAGCTACACCAGGCGTTTAAGATTAAAGCCAAAGGCACCAGGTGTACAAGTGACAGATCCATAACCTTATCGGCAAAAGAATGAATTTTTTGATAGAGGGTTGGACCAGTTGTAGTCACGACTGACGTTTTTCACAGCTATATAAGAAATTTTGTTTTTAATAAATGTTAGTTGCCGGTACGCCAGTGTTCACATCAAATTTTTGTCTAGGTATTTTTCCGGCGCTTATCTACTATCATGAAGTTCGCAGCTTTTCCTGATTCGACACTGCCTATCTTCGTCAGCTGAGAGACAAATTCTAGTAGGTTGACCCCAATGAAATCTACCTTGCAAGTCTGTCCGAGTGTTTCAGTCAAAGTGTTGGCTTACGTTTAAAAACGGGTTAGCCTTCAGAAATAGATCTGAATATGCCTGCATGCTCGGCGATCGCGGTTCAGCTCCCTAAACCGCAATCCTCGTACAAAAACATGCACTGAAGCAACTGCGTGGTTGACACGCCAAACCCTAACTAAAACCAAAACCAAAAAAAAAAAAAAACTATTTGGTGCACTAACACAGAGCCATTAGCACTGCCTGCCTCCCCCCTCCCTAGCTTTCTCTTCATTGCCAAAGAAAGTTGTGCCCAAAAAAAGATGGGTTGCTTTTTTGTTCTAACTCGGAAGAATAAATTTAAGGCTTTATAACAAAAACAAGCAAATGCGTAAGCAACCATTCTTTAGGGTGTTAATTTGTAATCAAAAAAAGAAAAAAAAACAAAAACAGACGGGTTGTTTTTACGTGTTTGCACAGTCAACTAGCTTTGCAAATGGCAGCTGTTTGTAATTCCGTGGTCAGACCGAGGGACCACCCGACCATGTACACCTTTGCTTTATTACCTACCCTATCCCCCAGCTCTCCATGGTCATCGCCAATTTAGAGTGGGCAATTGCTCGGTATATTACAGTTTGTAATGGTGTTATTTGTTTAGGAAAACAAAATGTCAGATAAATACCAGCAGGGCCCTGCGGAAACGGTGCATGGGCCCCTTTGCTGAGTTGATGGCTACTATCCAGACTGGCAGCTGATCGGCATCTTCCAGCCACCTGCAGTTTTTTCTTGATGATACAGACTTCCTGCAATAGCATGAATAAGAATCAGACTGATATTCTGGAACAAAAAAAAAACAAAACTTGCTTCACAGATCAACAAAAGAACAAGTGCCAACATTACGCTTCTCTTGTTGTCGACAGTGCAAAGACCATGATGACAGCACCATTAAACTCAAGCAAACAAGGAAAATGAGCTTCTTCATGACGTAATTGTATTAAGAACCAGGCATGCAGCCGGAGGGGGGTAGGAGCCTACCTCACCTTTGCTTTATTACCTACCCTATCCACCCCCCCCCCCCCCCAAAATCGTCCATTTTGCTGGGCCCTCCTCTCCCCCTCCCCCTCATACAGCATTTTGTCTTGGGTGCCCCCCCCCCCCCCCCCTTCCAAAACAAAGTTCTGGTGAAGTGCCTGTTAAGAAAAATGTGCATGTAGAGCTTAGATACCTACTGGTACCTTAAGAAATCCCAGGAAGCTAAAAACAAATTAAACACCACTTAAAAATAGCACAGCTCGCTTGATAGGCACATGCACAGCAATCAACAAGCCTCTTGACGTGTTCTGCAGTGCAGGGATACAGATCAAAAATAAACACCGGGGATGTGATTGAAATCCTTTGGGGCAGTGCAATGCGCAAGTTTATCCTGAAGCTACTGTTTGCGCATGCGCCTAAGAGGCATTAAAGCTGGTTCACACTGTTGCAACTGACTACGACCGAGTTGAACAAAACAGGGTTTTAAGCCGCTTACGACTGCCATTACTGCTGGACGGCGTGGTCATAAGCTGTCACAAGAGGCTTAAAGACTGGTTTTGTCGGAGTCAGTCCTAGTCGGGTGCAAGTGTGGACCAGCTTTTAGACTAAAATTGTATCCAGCTTTGGGTCTTTCCACAAATGCTTTAAGAGATTCCCTTCAACTTTACCAGAGCCTCAGGTATTTATATGTCTTAGTAAGTAAGGAGACATCACATTCAAAGTTGCATCTCCTTGATTTGTATGTGTCTCTGCAGTACATGTGAGAGCGCCTGCCAGATGTGTGTGTTTCTATTGCAACTTTTGTACCCCTGAACGTTCTATACCAGACCAGAGCATTTTAATCAAATCATTCAACCTCTTTCCTCAGCCATGTAAACTACTTGTGCACCCACGAGTTCCACAAGTCACGAATGTAGCCGGGGTAAATTAAAACGCCGCTAAGGCAAGCAATAATAATCTTTATTAGCGACAGTAGTACTCTGGGTGGCTCGCAAGGCTAGACATATATACAGGGGCCCGTGCGCACGATCGACTGCTAGGCAATCAACCAGAGCAAGATTATTAAAATAACAAACAAGCAACAAGGAAGAAAACAACAAGAACGATGAGATTAACAGGGCTCTGTCAACACTTTTAAGAAACTAGGCCCGCGCGCCTCAAACCCAACGCCACGCACCACAGGCCGGCGTGAGGCACACGCCGTACACGAGCACAACGACGACGCCCAGCTAGGAGCCTGTCCTATCTACCCGCCAAACGCCAGCGCAGCCAGCGCCACACGCCAGCGCCACTCGAACCGCGCCATCCCGCTGGACGCGGCGCGAAAACCAAGTGCGCGCAGGCCGGGAGTTTCAAAATACTGGGCACAACTCAACGCTGTCGCTAGCATGACAAAGGACAAGACGACACGCCAAAGTCAAAACCACCCGAGTCATCCCGAACACACCCATGGCGTTCGTTCCAACGTCCGTATTCAAGCGTTTGACAACACAGAGCAGTTCACTGATAGCAACGCGTACTTTAGAAACGATCTAATCAGCGTCTCTGCAGTGCTCCGTTGTCGCAGAGCATTCACAAGACTCTCAAGATAGCCGCGCCGCCGCCGCCGGTCAGTGCTAAGACGATTTCACTTTTTTCGACTCAAATCGCAGAAAAAAGTGAAACATTATCCGCATTACGGTGGCAACGTGAGCTACGTTGTTCGGAAGATCATCTAGCATATCTTGGATATTCTTCTAGCATGCATTATGAATATGAAATCGGCAAAACTTACCTAAACTCGGACCGACCGACGCACTCCGAGAAACAGGCCTTTGTCTCCGCTCCGGCGCGAACAAGGATCCGGAAGCTGCTTTGTGGCTTTGGATTAGCACGAAGCCAAGGACTGAATACGACGTAATAGTTTCGGTTTCGACCCCACTCTATCACAGTTCATATTTTTGGGGCCGGTGTCACTGCTGTGGACATTACCGCAGTTATCGTGCTCTGTACGAACTTTGAAGTGAATCGAAGACGAGCAGACATAATTTTCCAGCTTCTTCTCCTGTTATACGCTGCTTGATAACCTTTGTTTGCTGATTGAAATCTACATCAACTTACGTACATCTCGTCCTTCAAACATACGGTGTTCATTATCTTAATTCAACTTGATTTCTCATTTGTAAAGACATGTAATTGCTTAATCATTCACTGGATGTTTGTTTTGAGTTGTTATTTTTTGCTAAAAAAATGTACGTGTTTTTTTTTTTTTTTTTGGTTGGGGGGGGGGGGGGGGGGGGGGGAGGGGGTTGGTCTGAATTACATGTCGTGTTTTGCGGCTCAGTAAAACGGGTTGTTTTGAGAAATTCAAGATCACGTACAGCCGACAATACACCAGTGATGTAGATAGAGGGGAGGGGGGAGAAGCTTTCAGGGTCGCCCCCCCCCCCTCCCTCCCCCTTGGAAAATATTCGTGGCTGCGTCGCTAAATGGGCAAAAGAGAAGATGCACTGCGTTTTTTGCCTCATAAACATACACACAAATCTAAAGAGGCGTGCATTTTGGGCTTCGTGTGGGATTTGCTGAGCACGACTTTCGGTTTTGAGATGAAGCAGCTCCTCCCATCTAAAAAAAAAATTGGGTTGTGTGTGTGTTTATACAGCCTAGAACTTGGTCTGCCTCACAGGGGCGACGAGTCTCCCAGCTGTAGATGAGAAATTTGGCCAGTGCGGTACAGCCGCTAGCCTGGGGTCTTTAAGGTGCATTACGCAGTAGTGATACACGACCGCACGCCGGTACGATGCTCATCCAAACGGGCAGGGGTGGGGCTCGAGCCCAGGATGTCTGGGTTCTGCAGCGCGAGCTTTCGCTCCACGTGCTCCGAGCTGGTGTGCGCTAGACCACTCGGCCACTGATCCCCCCATCCTCCTCCCATCTCTTTCCACTTTTGCTGAGCGAACGCTCGAGAGGAGCCGACCCCCTCCTCAACGTTTACTTTTAACCTGTCACCGAGTATGGCTTTTTTTCTTTTTTCGTGGACCTTTCAAATCGCTACAGCTCGCAGTTCATACAGCGGTGTAATCCAGTTGCGAACGTGCTGTGCGTGTAGAAACAGAAGACATGTTTCCCTCCGGAGCGGGATCGGCGGCCGAGTGGGCTAGAGCACACCAGCTCGGAGCACGTGGAGCGAAAGCTCGTGCTACAGAACCCAGGGATCCTGGGTTCAATAGACCGATCCCACCAAGCGTTCCACGCATGCGTGACGCCGAAATTACTGTAAGTGATAGAAGCAGACACCAGTTCACGAGACAGCTCATGCCACCTCGTGCTCTGCTCGCGCAAACCTCCAGCAGAATTGTCGCGCGTGCAGAAAGACTACAGCTCCCACGATGCATGGCGGCAGCGGCGGCGTACTCAAACTAGATGGTGAAATCGGTCTATCCGCACCCCTGCCCGTTTCGATCTGGATGAACATCCTACCGGCGCGCTGTCGTGTATCATTACTGCGTGATGCACGTTAAGACCCCGCGCTATCCGTTGTACTGCATTGTCTAAATGTTTAATCTACAGCTAGGAGACTCGTCGGCCATTGAGGTAGACCAAATTCTAGGCTGTATAAACATATAACAAACCTCAATTTTTCTCTGGAGCCATAGCTACAGGCTGTTTTCAGCGCACGCGATCAGCGCATTCAGTAAACTAAGAACAAGAGCGCGCCCACGAGGCTTTGTGTTGCCTCTAATTTGCACGTGCTCACCCCCCTTTGACCAAATTGGAGCCCTGCAGAAGTTACGCTAACCTCGTGCACCGCCGAAACGTGCCCTACATGTCCTACACTTCGTTTCACACTCAGTGCGAGCGAAAGCAATGTGGGGTCGATGTTGACACGTCAAGAGCTCTCCTTCGCTCGCATTTATGATGAAAGAGAGAATAAAGAGTCATAGAACAAAGAAATGATTGCCATATATTTTCTGTTGTGTAATAGATGGCAGGTTAGATCTATGTTCTGACCGCTTAAGCTAAGCCTATTTCGTATTTACAAATTCTGATAAGCATGAGTCCATGTGGAACCTATCCAAACGCGGATTAAAACCCGGCTTGATTAATTTTGAGATGAAAATAAAAATGTAAATAAATATTACATTCGCGGTATCTCTTACTTTGTTCCGATTCCTTGCATTGTACGCATCAGTGACATTAATGCGATGGCTGATTCGTAAATGCGATTTTCCGTGGAATAAACTTCTTTTTTATGCACTTGATCACTAGCGCCACCTGCACATACCTTTGCTTTACGCCACGCGTGGCCAAGGCTTTAGTAACGTTGTGGTGCGGTCTGTGCGGACCGCATTCCACGTGTGTCGGCGGTGTCAGGTGAGTCAGATGGGTCGTTCCCACTTTAAATAAATACTAAAAATCAGTTTCTCATACTGCGAAGTTTTGACGTAGGTGCAGCGAGAGCAGTCTTGCCTCTTCTTGAACTCAGAAATACCAGCCAACATCTAAGCCTTTCTCGTGGCGAAGTTTCGCGTGCCGCGTTTCACTTGAAAAACTAAAGGCTTAGCACATGTCGGTTTTAGAAAGCATTTTTTGCTGGAAGCTTCTGAGGCAAGTTCGCCCTCGCGAATAAAACGCACCACCAGGCTGCAATTACGAATCATGTGAAACTGATTTTTGTTGTTCATTTAAAGTTTGGGACGATCAATTTGACTCAAGCGCCCGGTCATTCTTTTCAGTCTGTAAAGAACGCGGGGTCTGAGCGAACGGAAAATTGAACACGCCTGTTCAACGCCGCGGCAAGGTGTGCAGATTTAGTTAAGCAGCATGTTTTTCACAATATTTTTCCTGAAGCGCCGACTGAGTTGCGATTAGTTAATTTGTTCCGTGTCAATAAAGCCCGACGATCGCGTCACGCCAACAAACGCGATATTTTTTGAAAAGAAAAGGAGGAAGCGGGTCCTGGCCCAAGGTCTAAGCGCAGATACTCGTGGACGAAGCTATGTCACTGGCTATGTGAGAATAGCGCAAGAGTCAAATTTAAGCGCAACGTAAGAACACATTTTAAGTTGATGTTATATAAGTAAAAGTGTCGGTATCGAGCACTTCAGGGTGCGATGAAAAGCAAGTTCCAGCCAAAAAATATTGAACGACGGTAATTGCCCGTCGTTGCTTAGCGCGCTGAATCTTGCAAAAATAAACGACACCCAAACAGTGGCGTCACTAGAGTGAGCGGCACCCGAGACGGTGGCCCGCGGCGACACCCTCCCCCCCCCCCCCCCCTGCTCGTCGCCCGCCTCCATCCCCCCCCTCGCCCCTCCGCCCGTCGCCCACTGCGCCCCCCCCCCGCCCACCCCCACCGGCCCGTAGCGACACGCCTCGGAGCGCTGCACCCGGGGCGGTCCGCCTCGCCCTCCCCCCCCCCCCCCCCCCCCCCCGCACCCCCCTTCACTGCACCCGAAGCCACTCCCCGGCAGTTCCGTATAATCCCGGGGCCAGTGAACACAGTGAAGCGCCACGAAATCCTTAAACGTTGGTAGCCGCCTGTCTTCCCTGGTCGGCTCGGACCAGGACAATACAAGGAACGCCAAGGAAATCACCTCCCTGGTAGTTACGTAGAATCCCGGGGCCAATGAACACGCTGACGCGCCACTAAGACTTCAATGTTGGCGGCCGCCTGTCTACCCTGGTCGGCTCGGACCAATAAAATACAAGGAACGCCAAGGAAATCACTTCCCTGGCTGTCCCGTAAAATCCTGGGGCCAATGAACACACTGAAGCGCCAATGTTGGCGGCCGCCTGTCTACCCTGGTCCGCTCGGACCAAGAAAAGACAAGGAACGCCAAGGTAATCCCTTCCCTGGCAGTTCCGTGGCATACCGGTGCCCGGGAAATACGGTGAGACGCCAGGCTGGCAGTTCACTGAATTTCCTGGGCGGTCCTGGTCCAGTCTACTACGGCCAAGGCCCAATCCTGGCCCCAGCTAGCCCAAGCAAGTGTGCTGCTTGGGAGAATTCTGGTACTTTGTGAAGAAGCATACCAGGAAGGAGTCAAACTGTATAACGCTACATAATGAGTCTGGTGTTCATACGTCACCTAAGTCTGTCTGTGAGCTGTTTTCAGAACACTTTAAGTCATGTTTTTCTAATCTCAACACTACTTGTTCTGTGACATGGGATTCTGACGACTATTTACCTTTAACGAGTATTACGGTTGATGAGGTGGTTTCGGCTATGGGTAAACTAAAATCTAAGCTATCGACAAGTTCCGATGGTATTCCAAACTTTATTGTGAAGTTCTGTTGTGAAGTGTTTGCTCCTCTTCTCGAAAAGGTGTTTAACAGGTCGCTCCAGAGGGGTGTCTTTCCAAACACCTGGAAATGCTCCATTTTTGTGCCAATCTTCCAATCTGGTAAGTGTGGCGACATCACTAATTATCGTTCTGTAGCTTTTTTAAGTGCATTCTCAAAAGTGTTCGAGAAGGTGATGTACAGCCGTTTGCAAACTATTTTAAAAGAAAGATTGTTCCCGTTCAGCATGGTTTTTTAGCAGGAAGATCCGTGGAAACACACTTATGCACATTTCTTAATTATTCTATGCCAATTGTCCAGAGTCGGGGACAGGTAGATGCAGTATATCTGGATATGTCGAAAGCCTTTGACAGGGTAATCATTAATTGTTATTGCTGAAACTCAAGAACTGCGGGCTTGGCCCTGAGTACATTACCTGGTTCAAGAGTTATTTACATGAAAGACAAAACTGTGCTAGAGTTTCTGGCTACCTGTAGCGTCTTTTCATATCTATTTCGGTTGTGCCTCATGGCTCCAATTTTGGTCCTTTGTTGTTTAACAATTTTGTA